GATCATGAAAGCCCATTTCTGTTCATGACCCAATAAACAGTCTGGTTTAGGGAGGTAAAAATCAGACTTGTGTTGCTTGGCCAGAGCTTGGGACTCAGCTCTGAGCTCAGAGATAGTTTAGCATCGTATCTAAGTCCAGGGTGGGGGGATGCACAGCTTTTGGGTGGAGGACCAGGTTGTGCATAGCTAAAGCAGAGGGGAGCTTTGTAAGCAAAGGCAAGAAATCCTCAGAGCATAACCAGTGACCTGAAACGCTCTCTCAGACAGGTTTGAAACCAAAAGATAGAATAAAAACCATCTAACGTGACAGCAACTGACAGAGTCAGGCAGCGAGAAGGGCGGCAGCGAGGGAGTCCTGAGCTGCTGCCAAGGCACATGTTAATGCAGACTTGCAGGGTTAGTTGGTTATCCTGAAAATACATCTTCTATTTTGTGTAAATGGAAAGTTAATTTGTTGCTGATCAGAGTTTAGATCTTTGGAGAACATACCACCAGATAAGCTGAAGATCTATGCACTTCCTTCACAACATATATTCAGCGAACGCTTTATTGTTCATGGAAAGGCCCCAAGAAAAATATGTCATTAAAACATATATAACTGTGTTGAGTTTATTTAGCTTGAATTACAATACAGCACTTTAATGAGGCTTTTGTAGACGTCATTAAAGGACACAATTAAAGAGTGTTCAGAAGAGAATACGATCAGGGCTGGCAAAGGGGAGAAAACCACACACGCACCCAGATTGTTGTTCGCATTCAGTTACAAATTTGATTTCAGCGTACAAAAGCAGAAAACATGGTATTGCCGAGTTAAAGCCGGAGGCCTTATTGTTGTTAAGCTCTCCAAAGCTTCTTGCAGTAAGTTGATTAAAAAAAAATAGATAGAGATGCAGTGATGGATTTGAACGCCATCCATGGCGTGCTGCACGTGTTGCATCGGGGTGTGCAGTTCCTGTCTGTGATCTGGGAGTGTGCGGTGGGGTGACAGTCATTTTGGGGGGCCTTGTCATTGGGGGTGCAGGGCAGTGTGCTGCAGCATCACCCTTCCCTTTGGGTGGTTCGGTGCTGCCAGAGAACACAGGGCACAAGGTTGTCACCCTGCTCTGCCCATGCAGTGGAGGATGCTGCAAAGGTCAGCCCTGTCTCTCTGGGTGAATCCTTAGGAAATACAGAAAATAGTCTCTAAAATCAGCCACAGATTGGGCTGTACATCTCCTTCTGTGCCTGCTGGGCTCCATGGTGGTTTAGAAACTAAATTCCTCCTTGCAGACCACCAGCACAGATCTTTACCCATTTCTCTGGCAAAAAGGAGTGCGGCAATGGTGACAGTAGGAGAGGGTCTGTCTCAGGCAGCAGCCACAAATAGTAGCCCTAAAGAAAAGTGGAGGAGGCCAAGGTTTGGGGATTAATGAGCTGATGTTGGTCTTTGTGTGCCTCCCTCCATCCCATTTTTCTTTGAGGTAAGGCATCCCTGCTTCTGGCAGAGAGGTGTGGGGAGGATCTGCTGCCTTTCTTAAAAACATAACAAGAATTAAAAAGAGAGCTCAACCTCATTGAAAATCCTGACCTGTATTTCATTACTAGAGTTCTCCAAGGATCTTTCCCCATACCTTGGTCACATCCCTATGTGACTTCCAAAGAGCCAGGTGTTTTTGCCAGGAGGAGTGGGCTGGACCCTGTCTCTCTTCTCTGCTCACTGCTAACAGCTTTTTGCAATACCTTGCCTTTCCCCTCCAATGTTTACTAAGCTGTACCCTCTCCAGCCTCTTGTTCTCCTGCTTAAGCCTTCCCCATGGCCATGGGAGCACAGCTCTGACTGGGACCATGCTGGCACCCATCCTGGCACCCAGGCAGGAGCGCTGGCTCTGCGAGCAGAGGTTTCTCTGCAAATTACAGGGACGAGCGTGGGAACGGAGGGGAAAAAAGCCACCGAGTATCCAATTCTGCATTTCTGTGGGTAGAAAGAGCAATGGGAAAGCAATCTGTTATTGTGCCTGTCACTGTGAGCCAGAACGGGCTCCGTGCTGGTGGGAGACCTGCCATCCACTGATCCCATGTTGCATGCAGCACAGAGGACAGCCTTTGTCCCCCCACAGGCAGCATTTCAGGGCAGCTGAGGCTGGAGCCTCTGTGACTTCCCAAGGTATCAGTGTTGTGCAGTGCCATGGCACGCTGCAGCAGAGGATGCTCACTAAATAATTCAAGAAAGGCAACTTGATCTGACATTCATAAGGTTAATAGCCCAGGGACCTTGAGGGCAGCAGTCTGCTGTCACTGCACATGGCCATGCCATGTAGCTCATTGTCATTGGGAGAGTCAACAGTGTCACATGGAGCTCTATTGATTGATGGACGATTTAGATCCCAAGGTGATAAAATACAGTGTTTATGAAAAATGGGAGCTTTGTTTTTGTTAAAATAGTTAAATTTGTGATTTATTAAATTAGCCAGAGGGATGAGTTTATGCAAATGGCAGAAAGTTTGAAGTTCGCTGAGTTTGGATCTTTGTCTTTAAACTAGCAGCAAAGAGCAGAAGGATATGGCTACTTTTACAAGCAGAGTTATCCATCCCTCACCTTTGCATCTAAGCAGAGGCTTCCTGTTCTTGACCTTTCTTTATTTCAGTAGCTAAGGTTTTACTTCTGGTCATTTGCTTTGTTGCTGGCAGTTGTTAGTGTCCATTCTGATAATGGTGCAAGTCCTTCATGTGACCTTTGATAATGTCCTCCACCAGTTTGGTATTTTCCTTGCTGCTTAATGAGACACCCCTTTCACCTGCATAATGTGCAGAATCCATCAAGAAATCTTGTGTGCCTTCTGGAGTTATTCCAACCCATGACCTTTTCACAAGCCTTGCAGTAGGTAACGGCAATATGGAGCAACTGCCAGTGAACCAGCAGCTTTCATAGCAGGAAGGCTTATTTCCACTTTCCTAAGACAGCTGTGTGTCCAAATGGGGCAGCTTCTAATCTGATTTCTCATCTCAGAAGAGCCAGTTTGTTGGAGTTACTGGCTGTTTAGCTTTGCAAGTATTGGAGCAAGAAGTCTGCCAGGAGTGATGACGATTATACGTGCTGTTTGGAGATATAAAGCTCTTCTCATAGCTGAGATGTTGTAAGTGTTGGTCTTAGTGAGACCATAAGATTACATCAGCTCATGATTCTAACTCCCATTTTGTCTTTGTGGATCAATTTATACTTAAAAGTTTGCAGTTTCTGGTGGGATCCCTTTCTTGAGTGATCCACTTGGCCAAACCAGCCCTGTCAACCTTCCCTCTGAGCACGGAGCGGGCTGGTTGGTCCTGCTCAAGTGGCACTTGGAGCATTAAAAGACCCCTTATAGCTAAAGGGCCTTTGCCCTTGGAAGTTAATACAGATAAAGTCAGGCATTTTACTTGCGTTTGATGAAAATTAGCACCTACAGGACTTGATGTGTGGAAGGACACATATTCTTTGTGCCAGTTGTAGCCCTGAGTCACTGCTGTGTGCTTTTAGCAGTAGGTTTACAGGGAAGGTTGTTACAGTAAACATGGGTAATTTCTGCTCCACAGCACTTCTGTTCAACATTACCATTTTACAAGCAGGCTTCTTTCTTTGCTTTTGCTCAAGTCAGTTTTGTCTCATTTCCTTTGTATTGTAATTAATATGCTTGGAATTTAAGAGGAAAAATGCATCATCCTGGGGCCTTGGAATGTTAACCATAAAGAGGCAGCTGGCAACCTATGCACAACCCCAGTGCAAGCCGGAAGGGGCAAAATGCACCACTTTAACAAGCTGAAGGCTCAAGGGAATTTTTTCCTACAGGTTCTACTGCTCTGCGTAGTTGGGAGGACTCTCCTTTGCAATTCAGCCATCGCCAGTAGAAGTGGAGGTGACACTGCACTGTCCTCCATGAAAGAAAAGTCTGACCTTGAGATTTTGAGTGTAATTCCATATAATGAAACCTAATTTATGAGCCTTAATAATAATAATAAAGCATTTGAGACTGCAGGAAGACTCACAGCTGTAGTTTCTGCATCTGTATTTTGTAAACACAATTAACATTGCCAAATATCAAGGGCTCTGAAATCTGGAGCCAGACCCCAAAAGTCAGGAGCATGCTAGAAAAGCACTACATGTTGGGCAAGTTTTATTTGCTTTCTGTATGTTTCTGAGCCCACAGAAACTAGGTTTTTATAATTTCACTCACCTTTTGCAAATGCAAAAGCTAAGAAGTACGCTCTCCTCCAGCTGGCTTGAATTAGAGATTCATTTGTGAACACCTAATTCTCAAGCAATGGGCTTTAAGAGCAGCAGAAGAGATTTGGCAGCGTAGCTCCCTCTCTGCCTTTACTTTTCTGAGGGAAGGGAAGCATGGGGGTAGGAGTCTTCATCATCCCTGTTGGGGTGGTATATTCCTGTGGCTCACAGTACCTGAGACACACATAAAAGGTGCAAATCTTGTATCTCTCCGGGCCGTATGAAAGAAAATGTGTTAAAGTACATGGTAACCAAAATGCCATGCTAATAACTTTTATTTCCCAGAATATTTAGCCCTGCTGGTGCACAAACATGCTGCATCTAAAACCCAGTGGGGAATCAATAGCAAACGACTACAGAAAATAATTAAGAGGGCATTGAAAGCCAGGAGAAAAATGATAACGTTGCTCAGAGATGGTTGCTTTAATAGCCAGCATACCTAAGAAATGGTGCCTGAAGTTTGACAGCAGGTTGAGGTTTGGTCAGCATCAAATAAAGGTGATAGTTTGGGGAAGGATAATTGGTGTCTTCACACCATTCATTTTTTGGGCTGCTGGTGCAGAGCCAGCTCTTTGCAAACATGCAAGCCAGTGAAAAGGATGGGGTGGTGGGGGTGTCATTCCTCTCCCTTTCCCCAAGCAGCCTACAGGATTTACTGATTCTGAAGAGCAGCTGATTTCCATGTAAATAAATGGGAGGGTGGCCGGCCCGTGGCGTGGTCCGGATGCGGTGACTTTGGCTTGCTGACATCATTGCTCATTAGCATGCAGGAGAGGAGAGCAATGCAACAGCAGAGCCCCGCGCCGGCAATTATTCTCCATGGGCTGCATCTGTCCTCGTTAATGCTTTGCGCTGGGTTAGCAAATCGGACATCCTCTTTGCCACCTCGAAGGGTCATTTAGCAAGAGGCAGGCTGGAAGGGGGAGCTGCTGAATTCAGTTGAATCGGGAGCAGAGACGGAGGGCATCCTCCGGAGCCACGTTTCAGAGCAGGGCAATTGAAGCAAGAGCTCAGGACGCGGGCAGGAATGGCACGTTGCTCCATGACAGGTTTCCTTCGGAGACACGCCGCGGTCTGAAGGGCTCTGACAAAAGCCCGTCTGGTGGCAGGCAGCGTGTGTCGGGGCGGTGGGATGCTTTATGGCACTGCGGTGCTTGGGCTGGTCCTGGGAGCTGCCGACCAGCCGAACGGTGACTGGTATAACTAGGACAGCTGAGCAGCCCGCTGGATTCTCTCCTCTTGTGCTGTCGCCGTCGGTGCGAACAGGTAAGAAAGTGCCTTTTGGCAGCACCTTCAAAGTTGTCGTGGATTTTCAGGAGGGGTAGAAAGTAGGAAAGAGGAGGAGGAGGAATAAGAAGCATTCTGTGGATGCACGTAGCTGCGTGCTAACTTTGCTCAGTGTGCTGTTGGTGGTGAGCACTGAGGGGGCTGCGCTTTTTATCCTGCAGCCTTTGCTGTTCTTGTTGTTTACAACTGGAAAAGGTTAATTGTTAAATTGCATTTCTGCAGCTGCAGGAAGCCGGGGAGGAACATTGATGCCACCGTAATGGGTTTTTCAGTTACGAGATAATCAGGAAGGCTCAGCTGGCTCCAGATAGGAATAAGTATTATCAAAAATCCTCATTTCTCAGTGTTAATTTCTTTGCTCTGGTAAATGCAGCTTCTGGAAGCCTGGGTTCTCTGCGCATTTTCTGAGCAGGCTGCGTGCAGGGTGGTGTTGTGGCTGAGGACATTACTGTTCAGATGTTTATTGTGGTGGTTTTGCCTTCCTGAGGGTAGAGAGTTTTAAAGTAATAATCTTTCTACGTCCTTCTTTTTTCATGCCAGAATGCCTCACTATAAACCAACCTTGAACTGCAACCTGGGGGTATGTTTTTCAATGCAATCTTTCCAAGTCAAATTTCCTTTTTCTCTTGTTCCTTGAAGGAACGTTTTAAGCAGATGTGACACAGACATGACCTGTGACCATAGCAAGATTTTAATCCAGTTACTCTTTGTTTTGTAGCTCTGATTCCGTGGCAGTGCTAAACACTGATTGAATCTTTTCAAGCCGTTGAGGATTAGCGCCGGATAGACTGATGCCAAAATAATTACTCACACCAGATGCAGTGTCATCCTTTTAGTTTTAGCTCTCTTATCTTGTAACTTATCTCACTTATTTTTATTCAGCAATTATTTTTTCTACTGAGGGAGCACTTACATGTCTCACATCACTGCGTTGTGTTTATAAGGATGCCAGCTAGAGCTGCGATAAAGATTTGTAAAGTAAAACTATCTGCCGCTAACAAGATTATATTTTGCTGCTTATTTTAATCTTCTCCCATTGCGTGTGTTCTACCAGCCACATTCAGCTTAACAAAATGACCTAGCCTTGCGCACTTGCTGCTGGCAGACTTGCTCAGGCTAAGCCAGCACGTACACAGATGAGGCTGGCAGTGATTGCTTTCACAACCGAGTTGGTCTTGCCTATCTCAGGAGATGTGTCTAAGCCTTAAGTTTTGAAATCATTTCAATTTTCAGTGCGGCTCATCCTGCTTCTGAGCATTTTGCCTGTTAGCCAGGCTTTTTCCTTTAGGATGTATGGCCTGGGAGGAGCTCGACTTGCAGCTTGTTTACTGCTTCCCATGGTTTCTGCTTGTCATGCTGCTAATGCAAACTGGTGGAGTCCCTCAAAATAGAACTTACAGCCCCAGGGCAGATCACTGGGAACCTGCTTAGCTTAGACTGAGATCAGTGAGATGGACTGCAAGCCTGGCACAGCGTGGGGAAAGAGAGGGGCAGGAAGAAATGCTCCCTTGAAGAGCATTACAGAACCAGGGCTCTGCAAACTTGAGAGGACAGTGAGGACCCACATGCTGAACAGAAACAGGGTTCTTCATGAAGATCTGGTTTGGGATCCAGAAGGAGAGCCTAAATCTTGCTAGAGCCACAGGCTTGGAGGTGATTAAGTTCTTTCAGTTAAGCAGCAGAAAGAAACCACCCTGTGATGCAGCTCTGCATCTTGTTAGGCTGTGAAGCCACCAAATAGTATAAATAACATCTGACCATCTAACCCACAGGGTAGGACAGAGGCTTTGCTCATGGAAGGGAGTGCTGCTGAACTCAGCTCAAAGGGAGGGTATGATGAGGGTCCTGCTCCATCCCTGCTTGCTGGCTCTCAGGGCAGTTCTGTTGGGTTTGTCCTGTTATGGGGGACATCAAACCCCTTTCTGGTGTCTATGGCTCCTGTGCCTGCCCATCCTGCGCCTCCCCCTGCCTTCCAAAATCATGAGGTTAGCTTCAGCATTGTTTGCCGACCAGCTTTGGGATTGCTATTGCTGTCATTGAGCGTGGTGTTCTCTTCAGCCTGAAAACAAGGGTTCGGTTTCTTCTCCATGACCAGGATAAAATACATGTTTGTTATTGTTTCTGTGTGCTAAGAGACCTTTGAGGTGCAGGGGAACCAACCAGCGCAACCTAACATAAATATGTTGAGATGAATGGTAACCCTGTGAGCTGGCAGGCTGCCTCCATCATCTCATATGTGACAGAGCAGCCTGTAGGACATGTTTGCTCCTGGTAGCATGGATGGGAAACAGGCTGGGGCTCACAGCACCTTGTTTTTCCTCTTCTCTCTATTCCCCTTGCTTGATCTGCAGCTCACATGGGTATAGCACTTTTCCCACCACTGTCTAACCTCTATACTGCAAAATACCTTGACGGCTTCAAATACAGAGTTCTTTTGAGATCTGCTGAGTTATTAATATCCCTTAATTTAACCATCTTGTCTTTATACATCCGAGTTTTCACTGTTCATGTCATGGGTTGCAGCTCACAGGAGCAGCCTGGCAATGTGGTTGAGGTCAGGAGGGTGTTTAAGCACCCTGGGGCTCTTACCAGCTCACTAGGAGAGACTGGAGCCCAAGCAGGGACCTCTGTTCACTTCAGAGCACTGGGGTGCTCCTGGGCTCTCCAGAATGACTTGTGACACTCCTCAGGTCCCACAGTGTGATTTAATCACAGGTTGGAAATGTTGGTTGGGGTTGAATTCATGTTGGGGTGTTGTTGAAATGTCTGGCCATGGTTTCAAGCTATGGTCCTGCTTCCTTTTTTGCCCAAGAGGGCACCAAGACAGCCTAGATGAAGGATTTGGGGGTCTGTACGTTATAATGTGTTTTCTCCCAGTTTCTTGGTCTCATCTGAGAGGAGCACAGCCTTGTGTGCTGACGGTTGTTGTCTGCAATGTCGTGCCTAACCCCAGACAGCAAAACTGGAAGCAGCTTGAAGGCTGCCCAGAGCCATGCCACAGGGAAGCAGGGGTTTGGGGACAGGGCAGTGGGGTCCCACAGGCAGATGTTCCATCTGCTTGTTGAATTGATGGTCCTGATTCACTATGAAGGCAGACCAACTTGGAGACAGCTTTTGCTCATACATGGCTACAACTGGCAATACTGTAGATAGTTCTATTTTTCCCTTTCTTAATTAAGCAAGAATAACTTTTGGAATGGTAAAGGAATTTTACAGAGTCTTAAAAATAAAATTAGACTTCAACCTAAGGCTGAGCATGGACAACTTCAGCCAGATAGGAGGATTTTTCCAGGAGTGGAAATGGGGTTTGTAATAAAAGCTTCAGTGCTACCCTGGATGCATTCACAATTGCTGCTGTTGGTGTTGTGGAGGTCAGAGGGGATTTAAAACAAAGCAGCACTGGAAATCTAACGTGTCTCAAACTAATCAAGTGGGTAGAGAAGATGGATGGGGAAGATGGATGAGAGCCTGACTTGCAACTCTTCCATCCTTTCTGTTGCACACCTTTCCAGAGATGAGTAGCTACTCATGCTACTCATGGCTGTCTGGGGCTCCTAGGAGCTTTTGGTTCAAAGTACAGTGTTAGAGAAGTTGGAGAAGGAGGCAGAGCTTCAGCTGTCACTGCCTGTTTTGAGGACAAAAGCTTGGGGCTCCTCTGGTGGTGCTGATGCTCAGGGGAAGCCATGGTTGGGTGCTGCCTGTGGGTACCCCCAAACCTCAGCTTCCCATTTGTGAAATAGGAGAGGGGTGCCCGTACTGCTGTGCTCTCCCTATGGCAGTGAAGGACTGTGTTAATTTTTCAGTTAGATAAATGTTTGCCATGCCTGTGGGGTGTGGAGAAACGGTTCTGCATAGCTGGAGCTTGCTCAGGGTGGAAAGATGCCTCATTAGCTCTCAAATGAGGGGAGGAGATAACAGGCAAGGATAATAAGATGCCCTTGTTAAGAAACTCAGGGGTCACATGAGCTGCCCCAAATCCTCAGCCTCTCCTGTTTCTGAGATGTCTTGTGATTTACTGGCTGGTGACTGACCCAAAAGCCTCATTGCAATCAGAATGACGGGAAAAAATCAGGCTGCTCTTTACATCTTAAGCCAAGCAGGAAGGGAATTGCCCCTTTGAGTTAGGCATCCCATCTGAGCTGAGCAGACGATTGCTTTTTTGAGGGATTCCAAATCTTGCATGTTAACATGTGCACAAATACATGCAAATCCTTTACTACAGACTGAGCAGAGGCATCGCTTGCCCCGTCGTGGGCTGTGGCATTCATGCTCCTCACATTGTCTGGAGATGGAGCTGCTCCCTGATACAGCCCATTTGTTTCCATCCCAGAAGAAACAACTGAGAAGCAGAGATAAGCAGCCCTTTGGGGGTGTGGAGTGTGTGTGATAAGGGCTGTTTGCTGAGTTCCTTCTTTGTCTGAGAGGAATTTTAACATTTCTGCCACTGTTTCAAACTCTGCTTTCAATCTTGCTGCTGCCAAGAGGTGATGGGCTCTTCTGCTGCCCTTGTTTCACGCAGCTCAGGCTCACAAGTCTGAGCAGGCTTGGCTTTGGTGGTATTTACCTCTTGCATGCCCACCCAGCCGGGCCAGTATCTCTGGCTGGAAGAGCAATACGACCAGGAGCTCTTCCAGCAGACAGGATTCTGCTGCCCTCACAGCCCCAAGGGAGCCTGATCCTGCCTGTGCCACCCAGACCCCAACTCATGCAGACTGCTTGCTGGGAGATGCTCCTCCACTGAAGCTACAGAGCATTTGCAAAGACACACTTGCCTTGGCTTCAGGCTGCCCTGGTCCTTCTTCCTTCTTTTTTTAGCTCTGCCTGTGCTTTTGCTGTTTATTCTCACAGCAGAGAGACCTCAGCTGTGTTCAGAAAGCTGGGGGCACGCTCACAGCTCTCTCCAGAGCCTCTTGCACAGCACTTGTGTTTTCAGCGTGGTTTAGCTTACTGTTGGTGCCACTGCAATGATGAAAGGGCTGTGGGAGGCTCCAGAGATGGCAGAGGCTGTGCTTCAGTAACCATGGTGTGCAACAAGACACTGCCTCATCCCAGAGACCTCGCAGGTCAATTGAGCTTGTGTTGAGCTGTGTGTAGTTGGAGCTGGGCTGGAAGCGTGCTTCTGCATCCTAAACAAGAGTCTCTGAAGCCAGGTTCTCCTCTTGCTGTGTGGGGCCCTGTTTGCTTCAGATTCCCCTCGTGTGCTGGTTTTCCTCCATAGATGATGTGTGGGGTGTTGGATCCAGTTTGCACCATCCCCCTGCACCAGTGGATGGGTGGGGATATAACTGGAGATGGGGATTAGAGCTTCCTCTAAGGAGAGGTGCCAAGAGCACCACGTAAAAGCAGCCGTTGCAAAGTAAAATACATCCATCTTGTAACTTGCTCACACGAGGCGCTGGCCTTGAGGAGAGCAAACTTTTCAATCTGTTTCTGAGCCAGTTGCTGCTTTGTACCATGTGAAGTCAATTCAAGGCAGGCTCCTTTCCAGCTAAATCTGACACCAGGAAATGTTCTTGTTCTCCTCATTTGCTTCCCGCCATCCTGGCCCCACTGCAGGGCAGCTCTGTGCAGTGCTCCCCATCCTGTGCCTCCTGCAGCAGCATGGCTGATGGCTGGTTCCCTCGCTTCTTTCCACAAGCTGCTCCACAGCTCTTTTTTTTTAACCCTGCATGCCTGAAGGTGGTTGTGCTGGCAGCAATCATTGCTTCGTTGGGAAATGCAACACCAATGGGTTTCTCCTCAAGTGATGCTCTAGGATGTTGCTTTTAGCAACAGCACCAAAGTATCTCCAGCTTTGTGTCCTCCTCAGTGCTGGAGACCTCTCTTAATCACCAGGGGAAGTACTTCCCTGGGATGAGCTTGCAGACCCTTCTTTAACATAAGAAGGACATGGACCTGTTGGAGCAAGTCCAGAGGAGGCTACAAAGATGCCCCAAGGGCTGGAGCAGCTCTGCTCTGGAGGTGGGCTGAAAGAGTTGGGGTTGTTCAGCCTGGAGAAGAGAAGGCTCTGGGGAGACTTTAGAGCAGCTCCCAGTGCCTAAAGGGGCTATGAGAGATCTGTGCTTTGGAGAAGGGCCTATAGTGACAGGACAAGGGGGAATGGCTTTAACTGGACAGAGGAGAGATTGAGATGAGCTCTTAGGCAGAAGCTCTTCCCTGTGAAGGTGCTGAGGCACTGGCACAGGGTGCCCAGAGAAGCTGTTGCTGCCTCATCCCTGGTAATGCTCAAAGCCGGGTTGGACACAGGGACTTGGAGCAACCTGCTCTAGTGGAGGGGGTCCCTGCCTGTGGCAGGGGGGTTGAAACTGGATGAGCTTTAAGGTCCCTCCCAGCCCAATCCCAATCCCAGGCTGGCATTCTCTGCAGTGAGAGAAAGGCTCAAGAATGAAGACGGGATTTCCAGAGAGTGGTTTGTGTGGTTTCTTCTTGCTTAAAAAACCCAAACAGCAAAGCTGCCGACACTCTTCACAAGTTGTGTGGGGCTCCTTGGCCCCGCTGGCAGCTGAAGTCATTGTTGATGAAGCTTGGTGGTGGTTAGGTGAGGCTGTGTCTGTTCAGAGCCAAGCTAGCAGGTTTCCCTTTGCAGGACATGCCACTCCACCTGGGCTGTGGCTCCCTTTATATGGTAAAGAATGCAGCACACTGAGCATCTCCAGGCTCCAAAGCTCTTCCCACAAGTAACAAGGGAATAAGTAACGAGCCATTGTTGGCAGGAGAAGCCGGACATGCTGCTGGCAGTGGCCCTGTTTCCTCTCCAACACCCACCAGCTCTCCATCGTAGCACCAGCACCCACAGCACATGGTCCCTGCAGCATCTGTGTGCACAGCCAAGCACTGGCATGTGCATCATCTCACTTCATCCCACTCTGCTCTAAGTGCATTAGGGGGATGCTGCTTTTTCAATTTCATCTCACGTTTGAAATGTACATTTTTATATTAACTTTTTACTGCAGGGAATTATTTTTAATTATAGCGAGCTGGAAGATGATAAAATAAAGTTGAGTAAGTGAGACCTATGTGAAGAAGTCATGGAAACCATATGATAGAAGTGGAAAGACACTCTTAGGACACTGAGTATTGTTCCCATGAAATTATATATCCTAATGTAAAGAAAATAGTTGTAATTAAAGCTGTTAATCTTCTGCATTTAATGAGGGGAAAGGAAGAGAGCTGAATGTCTCAGGGGCAAGATCTTGAAGTTTGTAGTTTGCCCAGGGAGGTGGCGAAACCCCATGCCTGGAGATGCTCGGTGTTTAATGGTGCAGAGTTTTTACAGAGCCTGTGGCCCTGTTTGACATTGCTGATGAGTAGACAGGCTACCTGTGTCCTTTTCATCCTTTGCTCTTCTGACCAGGAGAAGCTATCCACTGGTGGTACCTACTTGCCTGGATGGGGCAGGAGTAAATCAGCTTACTCACTCAGTCCTTGCAGTCCTGGCTGTATGTGGTGTGAGCTGTGGGATGGTGGTTGTGTGGGTTCTGATTGATCATACACCTCACCTGTTAAGTCTTTTTGTTTAACACCATTATTTGAAGTCCTCGAGATAGTTGATTTATGTCATTTATTAAAAGCCAAGACCTCCAATACTCTCCTGCCATCTTCCGTCTCCTGGAGGGGATGTGTCTGGAGCAGGGAGGAGGGAGAAACGTGCAGACTGGCTTTGTCCCGATCACCGTGGTTGTGCTCCTGGCTATCCGAGCATTGATTGTTGGGTTTGCTTCGCTTTGAAGCTTGTGATTGATATCCTGAAAACTAAAATTTAACTAAGCAGTCCTAAACCTTCTTAGAGTAACTATCTCCAATGAACCTGGAGCTATTAATTATTCTTAGCATCTTGTTGCATATTGAGCCTGCTTCACGTTGTATTGCTAAATGAGATGGGAACAGCAAAGGAGCAAGCAGCTTTGGTAAGGTGGAGGGCCCTTGCACAGTAGCTGATTAATTAAGGTATTCACATGAAATGGTGCCTTGGTTATTTCTTAAGGTAACAGCCAGAGGGGATGCTGAGGCTCTTTGACTGGACACAAACCAGACGTGAGGGGTGCGAGGGGGTTGCAGTGCGGTTTAGATCTGATGAAAGGCAGGAAATGGGAAAATCTGGCAAATCTCCCTGGCTTGACTTAACGGAGCCTCTTGACTTTTGCTAGAGTGCATTTTTTGTGCTGCAATGGCCAAATGGAAAGTTAGACTCGAATCTGGGTCTGAGCACTGGTATGCTTAGCTGGCTTGGATGCAGTGGTGAAAAAGAAGGGAAGGTATTCGAAAATCACAGCCCCTGGTTGTTTAACTGTTGCTGCCTTATGGATTTCTTCGCTTTATATCTGCAATGGTAATTTTTCCCTTGATTTTTGTGTGGTACCTTTTTATTTCTGAGATGTCTCTTTTCTGCTGCCCAAGTGAAACTGTATCTTATTCCTTGTAAGTCAGTGTTGTTTCATTAGAGCAAATTAATTCAGAATCCGGTGTGGTTACTTTAAAATAGATACCATTGACCCATATTGTGGGAGAGTATTGTGGTTTTATAATAGAAGCCAATTTATCAGTGTTCTCTTTAACCTCTTTTTTTGTGGGGCTGGGTGATGTTTTCAACCAGGTTAGTCCTTTGCTGTGAAGGAAGGTGAAGGGGTGCAATGTCCTTGCAGCCCTGCAGATACATGCTCAGGTTCAAGCCCATGAAGAAAACCCCCATGGACCATCAGCTGCAAGAGCAGACCCTTAAAAGAAGTGCTAAAAAGTGATATTTGCAGTGAATGAGGTTAATGGCTGTTAAATTGCAAGCTGTGGGCTGTTCTTTTAGTTCTTCTTATGCTTTTCCCCTCCCCATCCAGCTCTCAGGCACTATGCAACCTGGTATGCTGCTGAGCCAGGCGGTTAAGATGCTGTTGTAGTGTGACTGTGGTTTTTGTAGCCTCCCTTAATTTAATTTAGCTTTATATGTTCAGACTATAATCAATTTTTATGCTACTTTAATAAGCAAATTTATGCTATCAGCATGCTAAAGGGACTTGCCATTCACGGCTTCCCAGTCAAACCACCATTTTCTGTATTAGAGAAATGCCCAGCTGTCCTAAATTTGGGAAATGCTCAGCAATTATTGGCTGGCATGGTGATCTGCACCAGGAGGGCATGTGGCCCTTGCCCACACTGGCCCCTGGAAATGCTCCTCATGGTGCAGTGAAGGGAAGAGCAATTACATATCCCTAAACATCGGGCAGCCTGACTCAGCTTGATTGCCAAGTGTTGTTACAGCAAATATGGACTTTTATTTCCTCCTTGTAAGAGAGACAAATCCTGCATTAGAAAATGCCTGAACATAAAAAAGGGTTGAGTTTAGGATCTGCAAGCCAGCTGCTGGCTACTAAAGCAGGAATTGCTTTGCTGTCTTATTTCAAGCGCAACTCACCGGGACACCTATTTTTCCTCTCTCCTCACCTTGCAGGAAGATTTGCCTTCACTGTAAGTGCTCCCAAGAAGAGCACATTGTAACAGTTATGCCTCTGGAGATGGAGAAGACCGTCACAAAGCTCATGTTTGACTTCCAGAGGAACTCCACTTCTGATGATGACTCGGGCTGTGCCTTGGAAGAGTACGCATGGGTCCCCCCCGGCCTGAAGCCAGAGCAGGTAAAACTGACACGACCCAGTTGTAACCACCAGAAACAAACTGGTTTAATATGCTTTTTGGACATAGATGCCCTGATTTTTCTCTTAAGGGGGCAAACACTTGTTGCATCTGGCTGTTTCTGGGTGCACTAGAGAGACTCGCAGAGACGGGTTTGGTCTGAATGCACAAATGGAACAAAACAGAGATGTGATCCTTGCAGGACTTGTGGTTTTCTGCATCTGTAGATGTAATTGGTATTTGACAGTGGGGAAACAAAGTAATTCCAGGGTGGCGTTTCTTGTGGTTGTGCAAGGGGTGGGTACAGATGTACCTACTACTGCTTCATTGGAGAAAAATGTGGTGGGACTCCAGTGTTCCCCAGGGACTCGGTGCTTTTCTGCCCTCCGACCACTCCGTTCTGCAACCAGTGCAGGGCAGACAGTCAAAGCTGGTAAAAGACACTAAAAAACAAGCCAAAATCTTTGGGATTGGCTTTTTCAAGCATAGTCGTTGTGCCTTACTGGAAGGAATTGCTCAAATTGTTCAGGTCTCTCAGAACAGGAATTGAGCAGGATGGATTAGACCTCAGCATGCTCTCTGTGCAGAGCACGCATTGATTTCTGCTCTTTGCAGTTTACATGATTCGCTTGCTTTTTATGCTGATTTTTTTTCTTTTAATGTGTTCAACTCAGAACTTAATTTGCAGAGGAGATTGCAAAATGAGCTTAGTCTTGATAATTGCTATGGCAATCATTTTAAACTGTGTAAGGAGGCTGGGAGAGGGTGGAAAGCTTTCATTCTTAGTGTTGTAGTGGCTGTCCTTAAATACTGTGTTTTCCTGAGCTTTTATTCAGAAGGGCTTAGGCATTTCCTGAAATATTTTGGCACCACCCGTAGGCTGTAAATACTATCTGTCTGATTAGAGAAAATCCAGTTGTTTGGTGGTTTGGTTTTTCTCTGCTTGTCTTTACAAGCCTTGCTCAGTGTTTGTTTAAAACTGCACAGCACTATGTGTTTCATTTGGTGCCATCCAACCATGCAAATCAGGCAGCAGCCTTGTTTTCTGTCACATTCCTTATGTCAGAGGCTCCCTTTGTGCCTCCCAGGAGGTACAAGACACGGTGTATGGAGAGATGCAGATGGTGCTGAAGTAGCTCTGCTGGCCCTTCATGCTGTGGGGACATGAACCAGTTGGGTTTCAGGAGTCCGGTTGGAGGACCATACCCGTGCTAGTGCCACCTGCTCTCAGCATCACCTTCTGTCCAGGCATGTTGGTGGCTTCTGGAGCCCAAACTGGCCTATGCCTCTGTAGCTTTGGGGGGACATACTGGTATTTAGTGCCAGGTGGCACCTGACCAGGTAGACATGTTTGCTGTTGAGTCCAGCATGGCATGGACAGCAATTTAAACCCAATTCTAGCGTGGCAATGACATATTCCAGAAGACATGGATGCTTCTTTGATCACTCAGGTGCCTCTTAAGAAATAGCATGCTGTGAGGGAGTTTGGGATGCTCAGGAGCAAATAAAAGTCCATTAGCTCCAGCAGTCGGTACTCATGTCTCATGCATTACTCAGGTTAATGTATTTTTAGGTTCTTCCAGCGTCTGTTCCTTGCAGAGGTCGTGGTGCTCCTCAGTCACCTGCTTTCTAATTACGCTCCTCTGTCTGTGTTGCTGAGCCTTTTAGCAGATTTGCCACTTCTGAGCTGTTTCTAATCACTATGGAGATGAAGAGCAGCCGTAAGCTGAGCCAAAGACAGGCACTGAGATCCTTCAAGCATAGCTCATCCAACAGCCTTTTTGGGACCTTTCATGCATCAGATGAGCCACTAAGGAGACAAAAGCGAGGTGTGACTTCTCTGGGCTGTGAAAGAGCCATGATGAAGGGCTGGAGGGTGAAGAACAGCACCATGAATTTCTGTGGGGGTTACCACAGTGTGTCACTGCCTAGCTGAGAGGTGCCCTGGAATGCAGGAGGATGTCCTTTGCCTCCCGCAGGGGTATGAGGTACTTCTACAGTGACTTACTGGAGCGAGGCTTCAGATAGATGAGGGGCTTTCTAGTGGATGAGCCTGGTGTGCATATAGGATATGGAGCCTCCAAAAGGCTGATGTCTGCTGTGGAGCAGCTGGTGGGCTCTGCTCTGGCTGAGGACACTGCTGTCAGCCGGGGCTGCAAATACAGATTTGCAGGCAGTGATTTTTTTTTTTTCTCCGCCTTCCACTGTTTTGCTGTCGCATTTCTTTGACATGAAACAGATGAAATGAAACAACTTTTTTCTCTGCAATATTCTAGTTTATTAAAATCTCTCCACAGCATATGAGCTGGGGAGGTAAGTGGTCCCCATAAAGACTAACGCAGCTTTCTTATTATGCTTGGACGACAGCATTCCGACCTCGCTATTCTTGGGAGACTGTGTTCATGTGTTACTCAAAGCAGCAATTTACAGAGTATCAGGGGGAGAAGTTGGCCGGCAAACATGACATCGGTTTTTGGCAATGTCCATAGGTCATTTCAGAATTTGGAGAGTCCCTTCAATCCAGAGCTTAAATTAATAACTATAATCTGAAGGGGAATCAACTCAAACCTACAAGGCCTCAGTGGATTCCTGGAGACAAATTCAGGCATCGTCTGGCCTGTGGTACATGTCAACTCTTTGAAAATCATGTTGGTTACTTAATGTCCACTCCTGAAGAGAAAACAAAGCATTGGTCCAGTGTTCACAGACACTGCATTGAAGAGCAGAGCCAGAAGTTATCCCTTATGGCTCATCAGTGTGCAGGACTACAAAATGCTTTACACAACAGCCATAAATATTGTGTATTTCTAAATATCTGTATAACACAGGGATAAAGATTGTATTATAAAAAAATGTAGTATCATTGAATGAGGTATGGTAAAAATTCATCTGGAAAAGTGGCTCAAATTTATGACATCTCTGCTCAAGAAAGAGGGGTATAAACTGGAAGGAGGCTGGAAATGCTGTTTCATTGAGGAGCCTAGAAGAGCTTTGTTTGTTCAGCCTAGCAAATCGAAGGGTTATGATCAATCCCTGTGCATTGGAGGAGGAACAGCAGTTATTCAAGCTCCAACTTTGGCACAAGAACATAGATATAAACTGGCTCCAAATGCATTCAGGCAGGAAATTGGAAGAGGTTTCAAACCATCAGAGGTGTAAGGCTCAGTGGCAACCTGCCAACAGGGAGAGCAATGGGTAAAAACCCAGCACTGAGCTCCATAAATTACAACGTGATTAGAAAATGTGGTTTCTTGTAATAGCAGTCGCTACATGGGATGGCCAAGAGGTTCCTGTGTGCTCTGTTACCACTTGGATTGGACCTCAATGAGAAGTTGTCTCATGCGGAAGAGGGACTTCTCTTCTGGAAGATATGGATGCAGATGGGAATGGGAGAAATGGCTGTATGGGAGGGGAAGCAGACCTTCAGGACATGGGCTTTGACAAACGCTCTTTTTTCCTGCCTGCCATTTGATGGCCAGATGAAGAAGTAAGTGTGGAAGTCTTGCACTGGGCAGACACCAGGAGAAACATATCCTTAGCAAATCAAAATCCCAGACCTGGCTGCAAAGACAGGGGAAGGCAGCTTCAGGAGCCAGTTTGTCTGCTGGGGCTGGCAGTCCGACAGCTGATCCTCCTTCCACTGACATAAGTTTGAGTGCAGATGCTTAAAAATAAGTACTTTTGAGATGTGTTTTTCACATTTTTAGGCAAGGCATATGTAAATACATGTGAATGTGTAGCCTTGGAATCCTGGGGCCTGTGGCTTGGAGAAATCCAAAGGGGTTAGAGCATGCCAGCTTGAATTTCAGAATACAAGGGATTTTTGAGGATTTCTGTCTTTATTGTGTCTCAATAATAGGAGCAGCTGGTTATAGCCACAGATTTCTAATGAAACAAAAGCTGAGGCTCCACTTCAGCTGCGGTGTGGCTTTCTGTATAGCTCCTGCATGCCAGCATTCAAGATCCTTATATGTGCTGTAAGAACTGAATTCCCTCTGGCTGTCAGCACAGTTGCTCTGATCAAGTCACTTAAAAAGTTCTGAAAGTCTCATCTGAGCTAGAATTTGTAGCATGAAGGTTCATGGACTATTTTTCTCTAAGGCAAACATTAGAGCTTGGACCTCAAGAGCTTTGCAGTATGGTGTGAAGCTCGTAGCTGTCATAGGGAATTTATTCAGGGTCTAACGTATGTGTTGATTCCTGTCCTGGATCTTTTGCAAGACCTTTAGCAAGGGCTTGAGTTATAAAACCTCCAGGCTTCATCAGTTGCTGTTCAGGTTGCAAAGTGGGGAAAGGAGAGCGGAGATGAACCTACATGGAACATGCATTAGCACCTTACTAAAGATACCCGTTTTCACCACCTTGGTGTGGTAGAAAGTACATTATCTGGGCCAGTCATCTCTGGGGGATGTGTACCTCAGTTATGCCTGTTTGTCAAGGTCGAGTGCAGTTTACCTTCTCATCCTTTCTTGAGCCCTTTAAGTTCACCAAACTGTTTCACTCCTCCAGAGATTAAAGCAAGGAAGTAACAAGATAGACCACAGCAACCCTGTGCTCCAAGCCTGCCTAGTAAATGGGAAGCAGATGAGCTAATTTATGGCCTCATGAAGGTCTTTCTTGGTAGATCCTGATTTGGAGAGCACAGTGGATGCAAAGCTGAGGGTACTGAAACGGAGCTGTAACTCATGTACACCGGTGCCAGAAGCTGCAGCTGCCTCTCACTCTGCCCCCTTGCACACATGCACGCTGTGGTGTTTTACCCAAACCCTGCGTTTCAGCACATTTTTCAAAGCTCTCCAATTTCACTTTGAGGTAGAAGTGAGTCCATCACCTCCCCAGTGAACTCTTTCAGTATCTAAATAGCCCGGCAGTTAGCGACTCTTATTTCAAGGCTGGAGCTTTCTAATCCAGCCTCCAGGCATAGGACTGTGTGGAATGCTTCCCAGCTGGATGGAGCAGCAATCCTGCACATGAAATGCTTTTTCAGTGTACAGTCCCAGTG